CGTTGCAAAGGGATCTCATTATAATATTACCGCCCCTTAACCTGTCAGTTTCCACCCACGGCGCCGTCATTGTGTTTTCGCAAGCGTCAACGGTGTACCAGCTCTAATGCCATGGCGAAAGTTTGAGCAAAACATACTAACTGTTCTGCCTTTGTCTGCACAGACCAGCACAGAACACTGTTTAGATCTAAAATAAACATGAATGTCACTCTGTTTGCCCCATCTAAATTATATTCTGCATCCTTGTGGTCTGCTACACACTTTAATAAAGCATTTGTTTACTCAAAAAACTTGTTCTTATTCTTTTAAGGGTCATTGTTACTGATAAGAATTATTGTTTAATATTTGCCTTGAAACCGTGATGTTTTCTGAGACTATTATCATACCGTGAAAATCTCATACCGTTACAAACCTTAACTACATTTGACACAGTAAAGAAACAAGACTGAAAGACACTTAAACAAGATATTTTGTCATTAACATGGTTTCTTTTTGTGTGGCGTCATGCTAGGTAGACATTCTGCTACACATAACTGTATATGAAATATTACATGTCTTCTGAATGGCTGTGATTGTGTCCTGTCACAATTTCATCTTTTTGTGGACTGAAAAAAAAAAGTCTTGTCTACACTGTGTTGAGTTATTTAGGGGCCTCTTATAGATCACCCATGGTTTTGAAGATTGGCCAATTCCCTCTGTGTGTCTTTCTACCTGTTCTCTCTTTCTTTGTATTTTGTGGTTCAGGAATGTTGAATGGTGATGTTTTCTTTAACTCTGTTCTAAAAAATAAGCTGCTCTAGCTGCAAGGAAGCATTATGATTGCTGTTTTTTTTAACAGGTTTGGTCTCAGGGAGGTATAGTTCAGTGCAATCGCTTGTTCGTAGACTGGGTCGGTCAAACCTGCTGGACTAAGAACAGTCAGAGTGGTGACATGGCCAAAAGCCAAGAGGAAGGTTAACTGTTCAGAGAGAAGAAAAACAAGCCGTTTTTTGTTCTGTGTGAACCATAGTTCAGACACAAGCGCACTTGTCTCTCTGTGCAGGTCTTGATCGAGACTCCACTTGTGGAACCTCTTTGTTCTCGCTCCCTCTCTCTCCCTGTTTCTGGCTCACTGTATCTTCCTCTGTCTCTTTCGGTCTGTCCTGAAAATTCTGAAAATTTTGTCATTTACTCAAGTTGTATCAAACCAGTATGAGTTTCTTTCTACAGTCAATGTAGCCATTGGCTTCCATAGTATTTTCTTCCATACTAAAATTGACTATTTTTCTAAGAAGTAACAAACAGATTAACTGAAAATTGTAGGACATCATTTAAATAGTTATTCTTGTCCCAGCAGTAAAATTAATGTTTTAGTCAGTATTATTTATGGTTATTTTTTGCTTTTGAATTGATTTACCAGCATTAAGTGAATATAATTTTTGTTAGTTTATTTGGATATTTCCTCAGAATCACTGTCAAATGCCAATTTTGTTTTATTTTGCTAAACTGTTTTCCATTGATTCCTCAGGAACAGAAAATTTGCCAGCGGTATGATGAGCTGATGACGGAGTGGGAGAAAAAGTTTGAGCGAATGGAAAACAACCCACGCCGTAAAGCCAAGGAGAGCCGCACACGTGAATACTATGAGAGGCAGTTTCCTGAGATCCGCAAACAGCGTGAGCAACAGGAACGCTTCCAGAGGTCAGTCAGGCCCCCCAGTTTCCATGATGACCCAATGAACGCACTGTCATACACACACATTTAAAAGTATTGCTTTTCCCTGACACAGTTGTGATGTAACGTCTTGTGTAAACACTTGAGGCGCTGTGTTCTGTCCTGACTCAGCAGTTGGCCAGTCAGCATTGAGGAGTCCGTGGGTGCTAGGGTCAAAGGTCAATATGTGATAGTTCCTGGTACAGAGGTTGCAGGGCTCCCTGAATTACAGGGAACTCTTTCTGGAACACCACTAAAGCAGAACATTCACAAACCTCTGACCTTGATTCACCAGAAACACAGACGCTGTTGTTTTTGCTGATATAACAAAATCTTATCAAGCAAAGCAGCCAGTTTATAGATATTCCAGTATATTTTTGCATAAGACTTTGCCAGTATTGCTTTCTGCCTTTGACTTCTTTACCTAAACATAAGTAAAAATGAAAATTAAAGAACTGTCTCTGAATTTATCATTTCTTTACTACACTTTATTTGACTAAAAAATCAATAATGTAGTAATGTCATGCAGTTCAGTGAATATGCCAAGAACTGCTCTGACTGATTGAGTGAGACTAATTAAAAACGAATCAGTTCAAGACTGGGGAATCTTCACTGTATACCTTAAATATACATAAATTCTTATTAAATCCGCTAGGGCTGTCACGATTCCTCAAATAAATTAGAGTACTCGAGAAAAAAAAAATCCTTGATTGCATTTTGCCCGTGTTGATTAACCGGCAAAATACCGGAAGTGGCGCATTCCATGGATGAGAATCCATGAAAAGCATTATTATACCATTTTATTAGGCTGCACGAAATATTAAAATAGGGCTGTGCAAATAATCGAATGCGATTTTCTTACGCATCTCGTCAGTAAAGCCGGTTCTGTGATTAGTAGTGAATCTCCAGCATGTGCTTTCAGATGTAGCGGTATTTAATACACAGAGCCGTAGTTCACTGACAAGCTACACAATATCGCGTTCATAATTGGCAATGAATCGCCTGCGATTATGAACGTCTCAAACTCCATCTTTGCATATGCCGTGATCATGGTATACCACTTTATAGGGCCAATTTCGAGGGCCTCTGTAACACACAGTTTGACCTACAGTCACCAAAATTCATACACGTATAGATGTCGTCAGCCCGAAAAACTTCATTAGCTCTGCCCAACAGGAAGTCAGCTATTCTGGGTTTTGTGAAAAACGAATGCGCTGAACTATTTAATACTCCTCCTAGGCTTTTCATCTGATTGCCACCAAACTTGGTCAACATGATCTCAAAAAATTGCAAAGGGATTTTTTTGATATCTCAAAAGGTTTGGCCATGGCAAAGCGATGAATTTATGGTGAAGAAAGGAAACAGGAAGTGTGTTATAACTTGCACATACATTTGTCTGATTTTGATGAAACTTCAGCAGTGTGTTTGTTGTATGATACCGATCATGTAGATGTGACTATTAGGAGTCAAAGTTATAGTGCCACCAACTGGCAGCAGGAAGTTTGTCCCTTTTAAAATACTTTTAAATCAGCCTCTTATTTTTACTTGATTTGCTTTAAACTTCATCTTGTTAATGTCAAAACATGGCATATGTAAAACTGTGAAGAAATTCTGTATATCTTAAATACTGTTGTCATGGCAACATATCAACCTTTAATGTTCTTTTCATGTGTTTTTAAGGCATTTAACATGCTTAGAATTTCATGAAGCTCGACACACACATCAGTATTAATGATAGTTTAGACACTGGCAAAAGCTCATTAATGGGTGTGGAGGAGGGGCTCTATAGCGCCACCTTTCGACAAAAGGGGGGGGGTAATGTTAGCTACAGTCACCAAAATCAGTACATGTATTGTTCTCATCAAGCCGGACAACTTTCTAATTTACAGTCATTATCTATGACTAACAGAAAGTCGGCTATTTTAGTTTGATTGTGGATTTTTGGAAAAATCAGGCTGTGATTTAATATATATACTTCTCCTAGGAGAATCATCCCATTCACACCTAACTTTGTCAACATGATGCCAAGATACTGAAGATGCTAAATTGCAAACAGATTTTGGATATCATGAACGGTGTTGCCATGGTGATTTATTAAAATAACAGTAAAAAAGGAAACAGTATTTTCTTTAAAGTGCATTATCCAAACTCTTCAAAACTTTTTACGCATGAAGAACAAGTCATTCTGAGAAAACGTGTTTAGATTCATAAATTTATAATGCTCAGCAGCCAACAAAAAATGTAAAACTATCAGACATTTCAGCTGACAGATGAAGGCTGTAATACTAAGGTTGTCTGCTAGATGGGGTCATAGGATAATAAATCTTTTAAGCCTGATCCTGTACTACACAGTTTCCATTAATTAGAATGTCAAACCAACACATACAGTAAGTTAATGTGTACTGTACTGGTAATATAGTTATAATTATTTCACAAATGCTTATAGATTGAACATTTTTAAAAATGCTTATAGATCATTAAAAGTTTTGATAACACTTTACAATAAGGTCTCTTTTGTAAACATTAGTTAATGCTTAACATGAACTAACAATGAACAATATCTTTTTACAGCAATTCTTAATCTTTGTTAATTTTAGTTAATAAAAATGTTCATGTTTTTATTAGTTCACAATGCATTAACTAATGTTAACAGATACAGCTACTTCTTTATGCACCAAGAGCTTGTAACACTCCAAAGAGAAAGGAAAAATTTAAATCGCATCATATGACCCCTTTAATTAATAATGTGTTAAATTTTGAACTTAATATTAACTAAGATTAATAAATGCTATATAAATATTGTTTATTTTAACTGATATAGTTAATGTCAACAACTGAAATGTATTGTAAAGTTTTACCAAAGTCTTATGTATTGTTCTGTGTGTGTTTGTATTTTTCACACTCTTGATGTTATAGTGTAACCCTTTCATTGCTGTAACCCTTTAGACCAGACTGCCAGAGGGTTACTGTAAATGCATGTGCCCGCTGTGCACCGTTTTCCTGAAGCCACTGGGGTGGCAGTTGCGCCAGTTGCTTGGGCCCATCATCATTGCTTGCAGCTATATTATTGTTTTATTACACTATGTATTTTAACTGTTTTGTTCAATAAAACCATATGATTACTTGCTTTTGATATTTTATTTGAACCAATTATTATTGCCTCATTGCTATTCTATATGTTTTTTAAGTAATTTTAAAGGCTATTGTTCGCTTAGGTCTATTTGTATTACCACAAAAAATTATCCGTTTACTCGATTAATCATCAGAATAATCGACCAATTACTCAATTACCAAAATTATTGTTGGTGACAGCCCTAAAATCCACAAACATTTTTCAGTCAAGAGCAGTGAGTGGTTTTTCTCTTTTTCTTGTATTGTTTGCTTAACATTAAGGACACAGCCAGCAGCAGGTATATTAGGCTGGTGTCACTGTAAGACAGAATGCATGGATTTAATATACTGATACACATCTGATTTTCTGTAAATGTTCACTTAAGGCATAATTGACTGGTATTCTTAAAAAAAAATGGACGTTTGAAAGCCATTAGCAGAAGTCAATGTCATAAATCATTTGATTATAGCCATTGTTTAAAAAAACTGATCCAGTTTTGAAAAATTATTTTTCTCAACCCTCTGCATGACCATCGCAGACCTTCTTGTTAGTTCTGGCAATTTGTGATTTTCCCTAAATTCGTTTTTCTTGTTCCCCTCCTAAAGGTTGCAGGACTTAGATCTGTAGTTCTGTTCATTCAGATAAAACCATCCAACTTCAGTGAGCGCTGTTTTTTTTCTGTCTTGATTGTTTAGACAAGCCAGAGTATTTAGCTATTGTTGCTGGAAGAGTCTTTAAACCATAGAACTTCAGAGTTTTAGAGCTCATGAATAGACCCAGAGGAATCTTGCCAATAGCTGTAACTACTGCTTCAAAGGCTTTTTGTGGGAGAAGAAACAGGGTGGGACTCTGGTCTGGTAGCTTGCTTGGGAAAGTGCTGTTACATGGTATGTAGACAACAAAGCCAGGAACAGAGAAGCTCTTTCTCTAACCATGCTTCATCCTTCCTGTCTTTAGGGTGGGCCAGAGGGGGACAGGCCTGTCTGCCACCATCGCAAGAAGTGAACACGAGATATCCGAGATCATTGACGGCCTCTCAGAGCAGGAGGTAAACCACTGGTTAATATATCTGAAATCTGACCCATTCAGAAAAAGCTTTACCCCAAGTACAGAAAGTGTATTAGCTAGAGTTTTAGAGCTTCTGGAGGGTAGCAGTTAAACGTACGCCCTGGGTTTCTCCCATACATCAGACTTTATTATTTCCCGTGAGCCATTGCGATCATGTTATTATCACATTGCCAGATTATGCAGCATTAAATCTTGCGTTCTTTGCAGCCACCCACTTAAAGGGGTCATGAACTCCATTTTTTAATTATTTCATAATGTTCTCTGAGGTTCACTTATAATGTTAATGTGATTTTACATAAACAACATCATCATTTAGAAGTAATAGGCTATTTTCTATCCTGTTTTTGAGACTCTGCAGAACGGACTGTTTCTGTAGGTGGAACTCATTCAAGACTCACAAGTAAACGGCCACTGCTATGATTGGCTAACAGTTTCACTGATTAAAATAACAGATGGACGCTGCTGTGACGTACTCTGAACACAACATGGGTCATTTGGGTCATCATTGTTTACTTTCAGTCTCTCTGAAAAGCCTGCATCATATTGTCTTGTTTAAAATAAATCCATAGTAAAGCAAACAAACAGTGTTTCATCGACATGATCTGGAGCTCTTTGCTAATTTTACCTTGTATTTACACCGGATACGAGCGGCGCAATGCAACTATAGACAACAGAGCCCATTTTAATCTATGATTTTGTCTACGCTGGATGCGGCACGGATTGACACAACAAATCCCCGACAGTAAACTGCTGTCCCGCTCTATTTCTGACATACAAGCATTCGCGCCGGTTCTGAGCTGAAAGAGAAATTGATTCGCGTCATGACGCAACAACGCTCACGTCTGATCTACATATGTTAGGATCACAAGGAAGGCAATTCAAAGACTATTTTTTACAAATTACACTACACCGTGTCTTTTAATCTAGTAATGTCATCTGAATGGTTCTGTTGGAGTAATCCTGTGTTTGCGTCTTTGTAGTATTTCCTCCTACTACTACAAGCGTGTATCAGTGGGCGTGGCTAAAGAGTGATGTAGAAGCAGGCGTTGATCTTCTCCTGCGGAGGCAGTGCTTAGCCACACTATTGCGTCATAAAGTGGCATATTCCAAAACGAGTCGTTTTCTGAGCTTGGTTTCAATAAAAGCTGTTTTTAAACTAGTGAGAAAGTTTTGAGATTTGAAACTTACAGGATGTTTTTGTAGTACATTGACCTGTTATATGTCAAAAGATCAAGGGAGATTTGATTTCTCAGTTCATGACCCCTTTAAGAACCACCCACTTAGACAGGACAGAGGGAATGAGGGGACAGAGACCAACCACAGTTTATTTTGTTTTATGTATTGGTTAAGGGCAGGCTTACCTGAAAGAGACACTTTAAAAAAAAAACACTCATTCAAACATTTCGCTCATTCAAACAAAAATTTGCAGTAATGTATGTAGATTTGTGATTATAATTGATATTAGTCTAAAAATAAGTACTGATTATTTTACAGACAATAAATCAAAACAGGGTATACAGTTCTGATTGAGGATATTTAGTTTACTAACATTACTGCATTTTCCTATTTTCTAGCTTGCTTCCTAATCTAGCAATTCTGGCAATTCTAATTTACAAATGGTTGGCTACTTGACAAATTGCTTTTGCTCCCCTTTTGTAAGTCACTTTACATAAAAGCGCCTGCTAAATGCATAAATGTAAACGTAAAACTATCCAAGATTTGATGCCATTTACTTGGCAAATCCTGTGAATAAGTGCAATTTTGTTTCCTGGGGGATTGGTAAAAACTATTAATCTAAAATTAATTTAGAATCCGGAAGTTGTGTTGCAGTCGGGTAATCTGATTGGACCTTGTGATTATTCGCAAGTCGCAAGTTTTGTGTGCAGCATGCATCAGATGGTCAGTAAATGGACTGTGAGCGGCCTGTGGGTGTGCCGTCGGAGGCTGAGACTAGAGTAATGTAAACAAGCACTGCAGAACCATCCTGGACACCTTTTTGTCTCTCTCAGAACAATGAGAAACAGATGAGGCAGTTGTCCGTCATTCCTCCCATGATGTACGATTCCGAACAGCGGAGAGTGAAGTTTATCAACATGAACGGTCTGATGGATGACCCAATGAAGGTCTACAAATCCCGCCAGTTCATGAATGTCTGGACCGAACATGAGAAGGAGATCTTCAAGGAAAAGTAAGTAACAGTGGCTTATATTGGCATGTTAAGTGAGTGAGTGGGAATGTGCTTCATTTTTTTCTCACCTTTGTCTCTTCTGTGACACAGGTTTGTGCAGCATCCAAAAAACTTTGGGCTGATCGCTTCATTTCTGGAGAGAAAGGTGGGTTTTCTGTTTTATGACTTGGTGTCACACCCAGAATATCCCTGGATGTTCATCAGTAGATGTTTGAACTAAAGCACTGTAACAGCTTTACTGACTCAATCACACCTACCCACCCAGAGACATCGTTTTTTCATTGTGTTGTGGTATTTTCTTCTCAAATTCAAGCCCAAGTGATACAGCTGTATTTATATTTTCTCTCTCTGCAGTGTGTGTCTGATTGTGTGCTGTACTATTATTTGACTAAGAAGAGTCAGAACTATAAAACTCTTGTCCGACGAAATTTTGGGAATCGGCGGCGAAGGAATCAGGTATTTTAAAAAAAAAAAAAAAAAAAAAACTTTTTTTTTTTCTTCACTTACGCACTTTTCTCTCACTCTAAGCATAGATTTGACAGTAAGCTCTTGCACATTTTGACAAATATAGTGTGATCCAGAAAATTTGTGCATACTGTACATATGTACTGCAGGAATAGTAAGAGTTGTGTGGTAGTATGCTATTTTCAATATAGCAGCACAACTGCATTCAACATTGATAATAATAAGAAATGTTTCTTGAGCACCAAATTAGACTGAAGTAATGGCTGCTGAAAATTCAATGTTGCCATCATAAGAATAAATAAAGCTTTAAAATATATTAAAAGAAAAAACAGTTCTTTAAAATTCTAATATATCACAGTTTTACTGTTTTTACTGTATTTTTGATATAATAAATGCAGTCTTAGTGTGAGCACAAGACTTCTTTAAAAAGCGTTTAAGTCTTTTATGACCCCAAACTTTTGATCAGTAGTGTATTAAGTATGCACTAAGTAACGTGGCAATACTGAATGCAGATGTTTGTCAATATTAGCAGTTACAAACAATAATTTGTAACTTACATGTGTTGGGTATTGCAGATTTGATGCTCACTTCACAATAGGTGTGTTCCGATCAGTGAATGACATTAAAGAACCGCGAGAACGATTAGAGAGAAGATGGCTCCATAAGCTTTCTATTCACTCTTGTGGTACCTTGATGTCATACACCGATCTGTCTGTGCAGCACTGCTTCAAGTCAAACACACCTATTGGCATTCACTGCAAGGCAGCATTTTGAGTAGGGCTGCATGATATATCGTTTCAGCATCGATATCGCGATGTGCGCATCCGCGATAGTCACATCGCAGGATGTGCGATGTTTAGTATAGGCTACTGATCGTTATATTTATACTGATTGTTTTCTTTGCTCACACACAGACACGGTGTCTACACTGGACGCGACAGCTGTACAGAGATACCCATTTCTAAATACATTTAGTAGCAGAGCTACTGCACGCGATTTTCAGTGCTGGAAATCCACCTATCCTTTGTTGAAACTTCCGCGTCGTCGTGGAGAGCGCAGGTCACGGTTGCTTAGCAATGGCAGACGCCATGAAAGCACAAGCTCCCGAGCGCTTTGGAAAGAAGGAGAAAGCGACGCGACTGGCGTTTTCCCACGCGTTTTTAGGCGCGACATGTGAACGGCCCCAACATCTGTCTACACTGGACGCGACCGTTGTATATAATTTGAACTTTGTGTCAGTACGTCATAAAGAGAACGCGGCATCAGTTTACTGTCAGGGATTTGTCATGCCTCGCTGCATCCAGTGTAGACAGCATAATGATTATAATGGGTTCATTGTATTTTGTCGCGTCTCGCCGCACCGCTCGCGTCTGGTGTAGACACGGTGAGAGCCACGCAGATGCACGTGAACACTGAATTCTGTTCACTTCTGCGTCTATTTGTGCCTGAAATACTGTGCTCTGCAAGTATCCTTGTAATCGCAGTTTCTTATGACTTAGGTGAAGGGAAACAATTGAGAAAGAAAATGGATGTGTAACAGTATATTGGTTTACAGCAGTTTAATGTTCCTGAGGCTTTCTGTGTTATGAATGTTAATCAAACATCAAAACAAAGAAAAATCACATTTGTAGCTTTAACAGATTTATTAGATTTAATTTATACAGTGAAGACTATGCAGTGTTATTTTACATTTGATTATTCAATTTCTGTACCTGAATACTCTTAGACTTATTTGAAAAATATAAAGCACTGTTTATTTCATTTGTATCTTTGTTCTGTTATGTTTATCTATGCTTGTAATTTGTTTATTTTCTATGCTGATTTACTCGCCTACAAAATCACCCCAATCATAATTTTTTCCCCCAAATAAACTATTCAAGTAATGTGGTGATTTTTTTTTTTCATATCGCAATATATATCGCAAAAAAAAAAAAAATATCGCAATGCGAGTTTTTTCCAATATCGTGCAGCCCTAATTTTGAGTAGTTTGCTTTTTCCTCCCGGAAGTTTTGGTGAGAAAATTACAGAAATAATGCAAAATTGCAAGCTGTTGTGTGGGGAATTGTTGAATTTGAATTTGCATTCATTCTTTCATTCTTCATTCTTGCATTCATTCTTGCAAACAAGCAGAAGGACTGTTTTGAGATACAGTTTTAGTACTCAAGAAGTCCCCTAGTGTTCAGTATGCACTGTTACAACATCTGCATTTCAGTCTGAAAAAGCCTGCATGCTTTTAAATATACGTGCTTTGAATGTTTGTTTTTTGTTGTTGTTGTTTTTTCTGAGAGGGGATGTGTTTGAATCATGCTTAATGGGAGGTTGTGCATTTTCTTTTTTTATAAGAAGGGGTGTTTGTGGTTGTTTTTGTGCGCTGTTGACGATGTGTTATAAGAACTCTGACCGTGTGTGTGTCTGCGCGCCGTTTATCAGGCAAAAATGCATCTGTGCTTTGAGTCTCTCTCACTTGCTCTCTCTGATTTATGGAGGGCTGCAGAGCTTTCCAGGAATCTGTTTTATCCGTTTGGCACAGCTGAGAGGCTACATGCTGCTGTCAGGGACCACAGAGTGAAAAGAGGAGAACTTGAGAGTTTCAAACTACAACTTGAAATCTGTTTGAGCACAGTATCTGAGGCTTCTTACTTTCACATATGTATACTTACTCAAACACAGTGTTTTAGAAGGGTGAAATCTGGCCATGGCACCCAAACCAGGTGGTTATCTGATTGTTACATGGACAGATGATTTCAAATAAACATGAAATTGAAACTTACCCCATTTACTTCATTATTAAGTGTTCAAGGTCGTATCGTGTCCGACCAGTTTATCATCAATGCAGGTTATTTTAATAATATTTGTATCAATCTTTCATCAAAATCACTTTTTTTTTTCTTTCTGAATGTCAACTAGGCAGAGCAGGCTATTGGTTAATGTTAACCAAATTTACCCAAGCTATTTAGGTGTTGTTTTAAGCTACTGTTGTATGCAAAAATAACAGCTCTTAAAATCTTAAAGGGGTCATATGACGTTGCTAAAAAGAACATTATTGTGTGTAATTGCTGTAATGCAATGTTTACTCAGTTTCAGGTTCAAAAAACACATTATTTTCCACATACTGTACATTATTGTTTCTCCTCTATGCCCCGCCTTTTTGAAATGCGTCGATTTTTACAAAGCCCATCGGTCTAAAAAGCGCGGTGTGCTCTGATTGGCCAGCTATCCAGTGCGTTGTGATTGGCCGAATACCTCAAGCGTTTGACCGAAATGTTACACCCCTTACCAGGTTCAGGAAACTTTCCTCTGTAAAATGTGCTGCACACACTCGAATATTTGGTTTGTACTGTTCTGGAACAGTGATGTAAATTAAAAATGAACCACTGATTTCTAGTTGTGTTCTCTTTTGGAAGGCCAAACAAAGAAGTTTGGCTTTTGCAACGAAGCACACAGCGTCTCCACGACATGTCGGCGGTGGCAACAATACTACAGCGAGAATAAAAGTTACGCCTTCTTTCTTTGCGTATACATTTGGGCTGCGTTATGCAAATTTTCCCACACAGTGACATAGATATGTGGCCGTGTTTGAACGAGGCGTTTTAGGAAGGCGTGGATGAGCGTTCACTTTTATAAAGAATATCTCTTTGGGTTTGAGACTTTAATCTTTGTGACTTCTGTATGCACAAACGGCTTTTAACACTCCAAAGACCAAGGAAAATATGAAATCGCATCATATGACCCCTTTAATGTAATAAGAGAAACAACATTACCATTGGTCATGATGCTGGTGATCTTGACCTTCAGCTTCAATGTCGCATTCAAAAAGTTTGTATTTGTGGTGAGGGGACTGGTCCTCTATATCAGTGTTTCCCAACCTTTTTTTAGTCGCGGCACCCTTTGGAAATTTTAACAAACTTGTGGCACCCTACAAAATTAATTTTGTCACAATATTTGAATTTCTAACTTCGATGTGATAATTTGAAAAGTATAGATATTCGGTACAACAGGGAAGAACTGCAGAATATAATGCCATACAGATATTTTTAATATTATTAAAAAAAGTTGTCCATCAATGGTGGCAATCGCTAATCTAATTAGCATCTTAACTTTTTTGAATATTTTAGCAATTTAAAAATATTAAAAAAGGATTTTTTTACACGGCACCCCTGCTCTCGACAGACGGCACCCCAGGGTGCTGCGGCACCCCGGTTGGGAAACACTGCTCTATATTATGGAAGTAAAATGCATTATTAGTGCAATGTATCTTTTTTTTTTACTTTAAGTCAAGAAACATAATTGGACATTATACCTGTGTTTTGGTTCTGAATATTTGGTCTGTCTGTTTTATCATTCATCTGTGATGGTGAAAGATAAAGATGGAAAATGAGTAAACAGCTAGTAATGGATTTAGGGGCACGTTTAATAATGTAGATGTATGCCATTCTATTTCATTGTGTAGATCTCATCTTAATAAACTCAATACTAGCATTTTCAGTCTTTGAAAAGGAACAATTAATGGCCTACTTTGAACTTGAATTTTGATTTGTAATGACCTGGACTTGACAAAACACACACTACAAAGGACGTTAAAGGGACAGTTCAGCCGAAAATGCAGCTTCTGTCATCATTTACTCACCTTTATGTCATTTCAAAACTATATGACTTAATTTCATCTGTGAAACACAAAAGATGATATTTTATACCAACATTCTTAAAACATAAACATAACATAAAGGTTTCTAACGACATCAGAGTGAGAACATTTTTGGTTGAACCTATCCCTTTAATAAGGATTTAAGGACTGATAGACATGAGTCTGTGGAACTGAGAAGTTATTTGACAGCATTTGGCTTGACCAACATACTTCAAGTTATCATTTCATTGCTCAGTAAAATAATTCATTGCTCATGTGACATTGATATCACAAGATTGTCTGTGACGAAAAGTATTGTAGTCTTGCCAAGAGTTATCTTGTGTGTTCTTTGTAATCTGCTTTCGCA